CTCGCCATTATAACCCTGACAGAAGTGATGCTGATAAACAGCTCCTGGGAAAAACAAGACGTCAGAATGGAGATTAGGAAAATATACAAGAGAATGAACATTAAAAGCAAATGTCATATATCAAAACTGGGGGGACGCAACCTGAGAGGGTTTTGGCGGAAACGGGCATGGCCCTCCACGCATACCTTAGCCATCTAGAAAGCCTAAAGAGAAGTGATGTCCAACCTAAGAAGTTAGACCAAGCAGCAGGTCGCGGCCGCGTAAATAGAAGGGGGACAACGCAGAGGAGAGCTGACAACACGAAACGGACAGCCGAGAAAATCAACAGGGCCAGAAGCTTGTTGAAAATATTAATAAAATTGGCATTGAGGAAGGGGCCCAACTACCGAGGATACGGACATGACAATGACAGATGCTGCTAAATCTGAGCACCGTGATGAAATGTTCAAATTCTTAGAACACACGCCTCATCAAAGCGGACGCGAGGGGGGCGAGAAAGGCCGAGCAGACCGTCCCATCGCCCGTGCCAGCCACCGACTCGGAATTAGAAACTTTCCCACAAACAAAGCGCCACACCTAGATGCCTTCCTTTATCTCCACGTTTCACCCAGCATGCACGGGGGAGAACCTCCTAACCCTACACAGAATATGCTAGAACACAGAAAAAGAGGAGTCCCTTCTCAACTTGCCCTGCCAGGCTCACGTACATTCGGTACCCAGACCTGCTGAGGACAGTACAGGAAACAGTATGTGACGGAGGCGCCTCACACATCAATACTGACGCAAACCTTCCGAAGACAATATTAGCAAGCGGGTTTCAGGAGCGTTTGTTTAAGAAATAACATACAACATGAGTGAGGGGTAGCGGGGAGAGGCTGGACACCCCAGAGCTGTCTGGAAAACTCACCTAAGCACCAGATAATACCCAGGCGAGAGCTCAGCAGGGAGGGAATGGGGCCAGGAGGATGGGGGCCCGGGTGCCGTTGGGATGACAATGGCTTGTGATCCTGTTCATAGGCCTGGGTGGGTGGAGGTGTCCCTCTGGGACAAGGGACAGAGCAGGAGGAGCAATGTGTGGAGCAGACGCCAAATTCGGGGTAACTGGGCCTGCCTGATCTAAGGGGAGGGGTCCGGGGCAGCTGGGGTGGTGGGGGTCCCAAGCTGGAGGGCATTCCTGGCCAGGACACGGTGGAAAGGAGCGTTAGGTGGTAGGGGGCCCCTTCCCACCCACGCCCTCTGAACTGGGGCCTGGAAACCCAGGACTTCCCTATATCCGCCTCTGAGCCATGAACATTTCCGGCAAAAACCGAGAAGAAAGAAATTCTCCCAGCCCACTGTGCTCCTCGTATCAGCAAAAGCAGTGTGAGCTGAGCTTGCAAAATAAACAGGGCTCAACGTAAACACTGTCGCAGGTCCTGGGGACCAGCGAAGAATGCACGCTGGGGGAGAAGGGTTAAAGAGCCTCCTCCATCTGGTCCCGAGAGAGCCCAGGGGAAGGGGGGAGGGGACGCCCGCCTCCTCGGCTGCAGCCCTGACGGGATGGGCCAGACAAACCCAGGCTGGGGGCTGGGCCGGCTGGGCTCTCAGGGCTCCCGTCCCAGGGCCGGAGAGGCTCCCTCAACTGTTGGAATCCGTGCTGCCCCCTCACCCCCAGAGCCCGAGGACCTTGCTCCCAGCCCCCACCTCGGCCCTCTGCACTCACACCCGGCCTCTTTCCCAGCAGACCCCTTGTGCTCATGACACACTTTCTGGCGGCTTCTCTCTCCATCTCATATCCTCCACCCGAGTCTGTGGCCTCGGCGGAGACCAGCTCTTCCTCTAACTAGCTGTGCGACCTGAGGCAACGCCTCACCCTGCCTAAGCCCCAGTGTCCCCACCTGTGAGGGAGGATTTATTCGGGCAGATGAGAGTCCTTTCCAGAACAAAGAAGATGATGTGGAAGAGTATGCTGCCACTCTGACGATTTTTAAACAGAAGCAAAGTGTGGTTTTGCAGCCCCTCCCTTCATGGCGAAAGTGTGGGTGGGGGGGTGCCACCTGAGCGAGGGAGGGCCGTGGGCTGCCGTGGAGTTCTGTTCTGCTCTCCCCACCCCCAGAGCGAAGTGGGGCTGAACAGGCAGGCCTGGCCGGGCACAGGGGTTCAAGGAGCCCCAGGAACAGGGAGCACCCTGAAAGGCTGTCGGGCTCTGAGCTGGGGCAGAGCTGGGGCGTGGGCTCCAGCCCAGAGGACGTGTGTGGGGCCCTTCTCTGCCGTGTGGCCCCCAGACATACGGAGAAGCGGGAGAAGGGGCGCTTGAGCAAGCTGCGCTGGTCTTGCCTGGTAGCTCCCCACAAGTGGACATCCAGCCACTGACCCTCAGAATGGTATGCTCCTAAGCGTGGGGGCCAGCGGCCGTGTACCCCAAAGGCCCCTCTCCCACTCCTCTCCTGCAGCTGAGCGAGCCAGCCCTGGATGGGACCCCCTGCCACAGCCGAGGCCTGAGCTGGGGGCTGGAGCCTTGGCTCCCACCGCCAGCGCCAGGCTCCCTTCCGGCTCGAGGCTAGTTGGGCGGGGCTGGGGAAGGCACAGGGACTCTGGCTGGGGTTGGCGGCCGGCTGGCACTGCCACTGCTGCTGGTCTGCTGGGCCCCCGAGGGCCGGGCGGCTGCTGGATTTCCTGCCCCAGCTTCCCGCAGTCAGCAGGATTGCGAGGGGGTTGTTTATGGTCCCGATGGCTGCAGCGATAAGTGCGATACCGTGGGGCCCAGGACGTGCCACGGTGCCCTCTGGGCCTGGCGAGGCCCTTTCCCAGGGTCTGTCCCCAAGGGGGGCATCGGTCAGCACAGACAGAGCTGGCTGCCGCCCCCTGCAGCCTCCGCCGGGGCCCGGCCCCTCTCCATGGGTGCCTGGACAGACCGCGGGCTGAGGTCCAGTGTGCGACGTGGCCCTGCTCCCTACCTCTGAGACCCTGGCAGACGCGTCCACCTCTGTGGGCATTACAGGGGGCTGAAGACGGCACAGAGCAGTCTCCCTAGGTGCCAGGTCTGTGAATGCCCCCCTCACAGCCCTGCAATGGTTGTGCTCCTGGGCGCAGAGCTGAGGTGGCGGCTGTTTCCCCACCTTGCCCCAGGGATCAGGGACTCCTCTGTCATTCTGATCTGAAGAAACCTGCGCAGTAACTGGGACGCCAAGGCCAACACTGGCCCCACCTCGCCCACCACCCTGACCTTGGCCGATGGGGGGCTGTGTCCTGGTCCTTAGAACCCCGCAGGCTGCAGGGGGTGGCCGCTACTCCAAGGGACTCTCTCCTGCCTGTTGTCACCCCAGAGGACACCAGGCTTCGGTCTGGGTTTACAGGGGTGTCCTGTCCTGAGAAGCAGTGGGTCAAGCCCTAAGAAAGGCTGGACAGCAGGGCAGTGGGCAGAGCTGGACCTGGGCAGGGGGAGGGACAGCAAGGCTGCTCCCAGGGCTGCTGGGGAGCCCAGGTGCCCTCATGAGTCCCGCCAGCAGTGGGGACCGGTCAGCAAAAGCTGCCGTGGCCAGGGCTGCTCAAGGGCTGGGTGCGGAGTTCTTGCGGGGAAGAGGGCTGGGCCCATTCCCAGGCCCTAGCTCTGCCTCCTGCACAGGCGCCTGGCCTGCTACGGCTCACAGGGTGTGCCAGTCCCACGCAAACACTCAAAGCAAGGGGTATGTCTCATTCACCCGAGTGGTGAAGTCCCCAAGGTCCCGACCCAACGGGTGGGCGGATCCCTCCCAGTCCCAGTTCCCATCCTGCCAGACAGGGACATGTCTCACTGGGCTGTGTGCCCGGGAAAAGGGTGGGTGGCCCTGCTCAGGCCTGTGCTGAGAGGGGACAGGCCCTCTCAGGGGGGACCAGTGTGTGGGTGTCCTGCAGCCCCAGCAGGCCAGGTCCAAAGTCATGGCACCCCCTTCACCCGGGTCCCATGTACTGGTCTCGCGGCCCCATGGCCGGCCCAGGCCCAGGGCAGACTGTGCAAGTGGGGAGGGGGCGAGGCTGAGCGGTGGCCCTGGGGGCCCAGCGTGGGTGGGGCCGAGCCCCTGCCCCAACAGCCCAGCTGCAGCGGATGGACGTGGGCCAGAGCCAGGTGTTGCCGGGGAAACGGAGCAGCAGCTCTCCCTGCCCAACCGAAATTCCTCTATTTTTAGCCTCCCAGCTACTTTCAGATAAAGTCCATGTAGACCTACGAGCTGCTCGGCAAGATAACCGCCTGCTCCAACCACAGAGACTTCAAAGCGCAGCCCTCCCACTCCCCAGACCTCCCGGGCTCCCAGGACACCCTGGGAAGGGGCTCCTGCCCTGAGAGGCCCGATAGGCAGACCGACGGACAGGCACAGAGCCCGGTGGGGAGTGGGGGCATCCCAGTGGGGCCAAGGGAGCGCAAGCCTGTGTCCCATCTGGACACCCAGCAGGGCCTCGGTGGTCACCCCACAGATCACACCACCCAGCACAGTCAGAACCCTACAGGGGTGAGTCCCGGAGCCCACAGCCCCGCCTCCCTGCCTGATGCACCCCTGCACCACCCACGCTGCCTTTGATGTCCCTGAGCGAGCGCACAGGAATGGGGGCCTAGGGAGCCACACGCAGCTGTGGACGCACTGCCCGTCCTGCATGAGCAGGGGTCTCTCGGCTACTCCAGGGAGGGGTCTGCGGACACTGGGTGCCACTTGCCAGTAAGGACGCCACGTGTGAGAGGTCATGAAACCAGCCCAGCTTGGACTCTGACCGTCCTCTCCCCATGGGGACCCGTGCCCAGCGGGTGGAGTGGACATGAGCCCTGACCAGAGAGTCGTGGTGTGACGTGTCCACACTGAGCACGGGAGGGAGGCAGGAGTGAGCCCCCAGACCCCGGTGCACGGCCAAGCCCTGCTTGTCCCCAGGCACTGTCAGAACAAGTGAGGTGCAGCCGTGGGTGGCACTGTGCTGGCCCTGAGGACGACGACCGCCAGCAGCAATGCCACACTGCCCACCGGCGCTGGCGTGGGAGACGCCCTGGTGCCTACCTTGTCTTCCACCCGGTTCAGGCGGGCACCTATGGTGTTGCTGCCTCGGTCCTTGCTCTTTTCTGGGGAGTAAAGTGCCGGGGTCAGGGGTGTATGCGATGATGGGGGGGAGTGGGGCAGAAGTAGCTGAGGGTCCGGAGGCCTGAACTTCCGAGCTTCTAAACGCATTTCTGCAGCAAGAACTTCAGGGGCCGGCGGGGTGGGGTGTCAGCCATGGACCGGTCCCTGCTCCACCCTCTCTAGCTCTGTGACAGGAGGGCCCGCAGAGGGGGACTGGGAGGCACCCCACTGTCTTCTGTGCAGATCCGCTACATTCCGCCCCCTGGGGCAGCATTGGCCTGGCTCAGGCCCCGGGAATGCCCGCTGCCTCGGCTGCCCCTGCCATCCTGGCTCCCACTTGAACTTGGGCGAGGGCAACCTGAGGAGCCTGCCTGGCCCTGCCCTGATGTGACCCACAGCCCCGGTCCAGGGGACACGAGGAATCAGAGCTGGAGAACAGCACCCACCTGGCCCCTTGAGCTCTGGGCTGGCCGCTCACCGCCCTCCTCCCCACCCCCCACTCCCCAGGTGCCTCCTTCACAGGATCCCATCAATGGCCCCCAAAAGCTGGCCATCTGAAGGGACCCGTATGGTCCCTTTCTCATTAACTGAACATCCCTTGGTGAAGCGCACTTGAAGCCACTGTGCTTGGGGTGGGGTCCCCGGCCTCTCTGGCTTTCCTTGCCTGTCGTGAACTTCGGAGGCCCCATAGCTCATTCTGATGGTGGGAGAGGCAGGTGCGAGTGGAAGGGTGGGCAAAGGGCCCAAGAGGGGCCACCATGCCCAGGGTGCCCCGCCGCGGAAACCCACCTGAGACGGAGATGAAGAGGGAGGGCTTCCCGATGGACTGGTCCAGCCTGGGAGGGAGGGAGATGGACACCAGCTCACGCTCGGCCGGAGCTCCGCACGGACACCTGGCCTGTCGGTGGGAGGAGGGCCGACGTGCCCAGCGAGACACCAGCTGCCCCACCTCCGGGAGCCACCCACACCCCTGCCAGGTGCCGCCCAGACCCAAGGCCCGTGCTCCTGAGGGGACTGGGAAGGGCTCAGTGGCGGGGCAGCCCCCTTCGACTTCCCCCCTGGGCGAGGCGCGATCCCAGGATCGCCCAGTGTCTCGTGGTGGCTTCGTAAATGCCCTGGGCCAGGCACCTCGGACATCCTCAGAGAGGGCCCTGCGTGTGGGCCCTTCCAGGGTGAGGCCAGGGCCCTGAGCTGTGGTGGGTCAGTGACGGGGCAGCCTGCGCCCCTGGCCTGTGGTGAAGACGAGCACATTCTCTGGGCCGTACCCTGTGACACGTGGAGCTAGCTTCCCAGGCTAGCCCACCGTTGAGGCACAGCTGGTCTGAGCCTGTGCAGGTCCCCAAGGGTCACAGGGCTCCACGTGGACACGCTCTCCAGGCTCCAAGCCAGAAGCCAGAACACGCTGGCTCCCACTGGTCAGGGTGCCCAACTCCAGAGTCAGGGTGGGGAGACCCCGGGGGTGGGGCCTTGTGCCTGGCAGGGTCTCCCCTGGCTGTGGGTGTTCTGGGGCCGGCCAGGCCCTTGCTCAGGGGGGTGGGCTGGGCTGTGACAGGTCCTGCAGCTCTGAGCAGTTAGGAGGCGTGGGGCTGGAGTGGGAAGGGAGCAGCTGTTTCTGTCCCCGCACGTCCCCAGCCCGGGCCACCCCCGCCCTCCCCGCCGTGCCCACCTTCTCTGTAGCTCTTTGATGCGCACCATGAGGTTGAGGTGGCCTTGGGAGTACTGCTCGATGACGTCCCGCACGTCGTAGGGCTTCCGAGCTTGCTGAGGGCCAGGAGACATGAGTCACTCCCCGCTCTGTGCCCCCGGCTCGGCGAGAGCAGACAGTGTGGGTGAGCAGGGTCTTTGGGGATTTAAGGGGATCACCCACACGGCACACGCAGCGCCGGGAGCCCCCCCAGAGGCCCCGCTACCCCGGGCCTGGCTGCTGGGGGCTGGGTGGCCCTGGCCAGCGGGGCGGCCCTTCTGGGCCTCAGTTTCCTGCCCGCTCACCCGCAGGGGCCTGGCCGCTCTCCCTTTCCAGGCAACCAGTTTCCGTTCTCAGGTCGCCTTGGAAGAGCTGGCCCAGCTGAGGGGCCAGGAGGGCAGCACAGTCACCAAGTGCCGGCCGGGAGAGCACAGTATGTGTAGCCTCCGCCTGCCTGGGCTCCAAGCTGACGCTCAGCACACTTGCTGGCAAGCGCGCCCCTGCTCTCAGGGTGGGGAGGTGGCCCACCATGCCCCCTTTCCAGGCAGTCTCCAGTGCCGGGAGGTGACCCCAGGTGACAGCCTTGGCCTGCACGGCCTGCTCTGGGTGACAAGCACCCTACCGGTGCTCTGAGGCTACTAGGGCAGAGGGATGGTCCCACAGCAGGCCTGGGGCCATGGGGGCAGGGCAGGTGACCCCGGGGTACCCAGGCTCGGAGCCAGCTCTGAGCCCATAAGCATACCCGCAGCTCAGGTGTAATCACCAGAAACCACAACAGAGGGAAGGGGGCTTCTTGTGACGTCAGCAAAACCTCAAGTCGCATTGATGGCCTCGTTCCCAGGAGTCTGTGGGCCGAGGGGCTCGCCCAGGTAGCAGCAAGCCCGCCGAGCGGAGTTTACTGGCCCCGGAGGCCTTTCACTACACCAGCAAGCCAGAGTTATGTGGGGCCGCCTCTCTCTGAGGGGCCATGGAGGTGGGGTGGGGGTGCTGAGGGTGGCCCTCACGGGCACTGATGAGCGATGGGGGGGCGTTACTTCCTCTTGCTGGGGAGGGTCAGGGCTGGGTCTCAGCCCTGGGCCTCTGGAGCCTGGGGGACATGTCCTCCCTGCCCACCTGATGCCACCCCAGAGACTGGGGCTACCCTGGTCTGACGGTGTGACCACCTTTGCCTTCCCAGAAAGATGGGGCACCCCCCTCAGATGTCTGGGTACCTTCAGATATGCCCAGGGGCTCTGCCATCAATGCTGGCAGCTTAGCAGAGTTCTAACAACTCCCTAACATTGTCCTGGACCCCAGGAATGCCAAGGCAGGGCAGAGGTCTCCTCCCTACTGGGGGCGGCGCACCAGAAGTCCAGGGGGCCCTGCCCCCACAAGATCCGCCAGGTGAGTCCCTTGAGGGCAATACATAGCCCCTCTCTGCTCTATCCCGGCATCCCCACCTCTGCCTTCCCAGAAAGATGGGGCACACCCCTCAGATGTCTGGGATGGGGCTCCTGAGATGGGGATGCCGGGACAGAGCCCGCCTTCTCGACATCTGGCTGTGCCCCCGACAGAAGGACCTGCTGCTCCTGGGAGCCATGCTGGGTGCCAGGAACACCCTACATCACTAACCCATCGTGGGGTCCCAGGGTCAGGCACGGGACGGGACTCTAGGCAGACCCTCCGGCTCCCCGCACACTCAGCTTAACGACAACCACAACAGTGGCACTAAGTACACGCCCAGGTTGAGCTTCTTGGTCTGTATAATGGGGGATGAGCCCCATTTTTCCCTCCTGTGAGACGGGGGTGCTGAGCCCTGCTGCACTCTGGCTGGCAGGGAGAGGGCGAGACTAAAATAGGATGGTAGGTGAGAAAGGTGAGGGAGTCCTGAGCCGGCCCACGCTGGAAGAGCCGGACGTGGCTGTGACGGTGGCTACGGCTGAGCCGAGTCTGAGCCGTTCCTTAGCTCAAACTGAAGGTGACCCTGAGTTATGACAGTCAACCTCCTGTGGGTCAAAGGGCTTTGTGAGGTGTGTGGCACCTTCAGTCGTGCCGGTGAGGTCTGGCTGGGTTCAGAGGTCAAGGTGGTGCCGGCCTGGCCCAGGCTGAGTGGGTCCCTGTGCTGGTCACCCAGCCAGCCTGGGAGGCCATGGGCCACTAGGAACCTCTCTGCGTGCCTGTGACAGTGTGAGTAACAAGTGTGGGTAGGAGTGTCGGGGTGAGGGTGTGTGTGCGCGTGCATGTGTGTGTGTGTGTGCCCAAGTGTGTGCATCTGCAGGAGCGGGGGATGGGGCCCATGAGAAGGCCTCCTCTGCCACGCCTTGTCCAGGGCAGGGACAACAGAAGGGTCAGCGATGCCCAGCTAACACCCAGGTGGCCCGGCAGGGTGCCAGGCCCCCTGAGACTTATCCTGGAGCTGATGAGTGCCCTTCCTGGTCTGGTCAGTGCTCCTGGGCCTTTGTCAAGTGGCTGCCTAGGCCCTGACTTCAGAGGCCATCTCAGCTTTCTCTCTAGAGCTAATTTCCTCTGGCGGCAGCAGCAGAAGGCTGAGATGAGCTGAGATATTGCTGGGTTGTCCAGACTGACCGACGGTGGACATGGGAGTTCAAGGCAAACTCAAAGGGCTAAGAGGCTCTGGCTCCTCTGGCCAGACATAGGGGCGGCCGGCCAGCCGGGCGGGCAGGGGGGCCACCCCCCATGTCTGCAGCCCCTGAGGCCAGAGGGGGTGGGGGTGCAGGCAGACAGACAGACAGGCTGCTGTGGGGGAGGGAAGGCATTCCTGACAGCTGGGCCCAGGGTGGAGGCTGCCCCTGGGGCCTCACAGAGCCCCTCACTGTTAGGGTCTCCCTCCACTGCCCCCACCTCAGGGGGTCCCTCCTCCCTGGAGACCTCCACACTGCTCCTGGAAATGGAGGTCAGCTGGTGAGGCTGGAGGCAGCCCTAGCCCCTGGTCTTGCTCGAGCCTCTGTACCCCATAGGAGCAAATTGGGGGGCTTCCAGGAGCACCTCTACTCCCAGGGCCCATTGGGTTGACTCGAGGCCCCTTTGGGTCCTGTGCGCAGGGGCGGGGCAGACAGCAGGGCAGATGGGGTTGCCCGGCCTGCGCCCAGAGGCCTACTGGGTCACTCGCAGGACCCTGGCCTGTCTCCTGTGGCAGAACAGGGACCCTCAGACTGGAAGGGGGTGCAGGGTTCCCACTGATACCAGCAGCCAGTTTCTTTTTCCACACTTTAGTGACAGAGTGCCCCCAGTGCCCAAGTCTGCTTGCTCCCGACCATGGGTGCCCACGTGCCAAGGACAATCTCTGTTCTGAGCTGGCCTGCCCATGTCACCCCCGAGCTGGGCTGTCAGGAGCCTCAAGTTTCCGTCTACTCTGCCGGGTGACCCCCAGACTCTGCAAGCAGCCTCTAGGAAGCCTGGTGTCCACCCTGGCACAGCCCTCCATGTCCCCATTGTGCCTTAGGCAGTGGGTCATGGGCTCTGCCCTATGGATACCTGCTCTGAAGCCACAGTGACCTAGCTTCTTATCCAGGGACCACCCCCATCCTGGAGGAGTCCCGACTGAGCCCCCTCAGATGGACATCTGTGGTTTTAGCTGTCCCTGCCAGGCTGCTCTCCAAAGAGGGTGACACATTTTGGCCCTTTTCAGGGCCTTCTCTGGCTTTGGGGGACAGTCTTGCCCAGATCTGACCCTTGAGGGGGGTTCCTGCCTGGGAGGATGCTGGCAGTGCCAGGAAGCCAGCCCCTCCTCTCCCAGGGCTCCTCAGCTACGTGCCCTCTGCCGGGCAATGCCAGGGCGGCCCAGGCTCCCCGGGAAGGCATGGACACAGAATCCAGACACCTTCAGTCCGGGGCCATCGGCCCTCGTCCAGGACATTGTCGGGCAGACCTCCCAGCAGTGGGCATGCCTCTTGTCTTGACCGTGAGAAGCCCCAGACCTTGGTGTGAGCCTCAGTACAACCCAGTCCAGTGTGGTCAGAAAGGCCTCCCTGGCCGGAGCGTGTGCAGATGGGTAGCAGAACACGGCTGAGGGTCCGTGTGTGCAAACCGTCCCTGAGAGGCAGCTGGTGGCGGGGCCTAGGGGGCCACATGCTGCTCTGGCTGTGGGGGGAGCTCGGCGCCAGGGAGGGCCTCGCCGCTGAGGGGCTGCTCCTGAGGATCGTATGGGTGGCGATCATGGTCGTGGAGGAGGCTGCCTGAGGGCTGCCGGGGGCTGGGCCTGTGTGGGGCACGTGTGACGCAGTCCTGTGCCAACCGCTCAGGCGCTTGTGCCCATTACAGGTGGGGGAAGAACTTGCCAGTACTGCCTGGGGTGGATTCTACACCCAGAGCCCCCCACTGAGTCTGGCTCATGACCCGGGTGGGTGGGGCTTGCTAGGGGGCGGTGGAGGAACTCTTGTCAATGCGGCAGCCTGGTGTGGATGGCTCTCGTCCCAGCCATGCTGAGACCCTTCTGGGGGATGTGAACAAGTCACCCCAACCTTCCCTGCTTGGTGAGAGAAGCCCTAGGGGATCTAGCATTGCTGCTAGCTCCAGGGGACCCCCAGCCATGACTCTATCAGGCACTCACTTTTTAAAGGCCTTCTGTCGCCAGGCCTTCTGGAAAGGGACCCTTAGGGTCGCTTTCCCTAAGTTTGCATGCTCTCAGAGTGAGGGCTGAGCTGGGCCTCCATCCTTGGACCAAGGACCATCCCCACAGCAGAAGGAGGGGCTGAGCTGGCACCGTCTGGCCTTCTCTGGGGCCTCAGGCTCCAGGGACTAAGGGGCTGCTGGAAACTCGCCTCTGGAAGGAAGCGTGACGGAGAATGGAAGCCCATGGGCTCCAGCCTTGCCCAGCCAAGGAGACCCACCTCTCCCGGTACAGGTGGGCCAGGTCTCTCCTCCGTTCTCCGGACTCACACAGCGTGGGAGACGGGAGACAAGAGCTCTGAGCCGGGGTGGGACAGGGCTCTGAGGCCTGGGGGACACCACTTCTGCCCCAGATAATGTGGGCGGGCTCTGCACCCTCTCTGAGTCTTGCCCATGTCACCTGCCCATCAATCAGGGGACAGGTGAGTGAGCCCCAGAGGCTCTGTGTGTCCCTGGCTCTGGGCTGGGTCTCAGGGGCCAGGACAGAGGAGGGATGGGTCTTTCCAGGGTTCTATTGTCTTGGGGACAGATAATGAAGCCGTCACAGGCTATCTGATGGGTGAGGGGTCAAATCTCGGCTGTGGCAGGGGATGGAGACCTCGTAGCTTCCACCATGGGCACGAGGGGGCTTCTGGGGCACAGGCAGAGGGCTCAGAGCAGAACTCACCTGAAACCTCTTCTTGGCCACAAAGTACTGCATGCGCCGAATGACCTTGATGGTGGCCCGATGGTGCTCCCGCAGCCTGCAGAAGAGGAAGAGAAGGGTGTGAGTGGCCACCCTGCCAGAGGCGTGGAGCCTTCCGAGGTGTCCCCTGCTGCATGTGGGCTGGCCCTTCTAGGAACAAGGAGAATGCTGAACCCCCTGGAATGGAAATCTTTGCGGCCACGTCCTGGGGGCTGTGGGGAGGAAAAGCTGGCGGCAGGGGGCTTTTCACTAGCGGGGTGATCCCAGAGGGACCCTTTCCTTGCTTGTCGCTCAGAAGTGAGGTGACAGTCAGGGCCCCCGGTTCACAATGGCTGTGCCCCTAACTCACGGCAGAGCCACGGGAACGTCTTTCTCCTTGGGCCTTCAGGAACCCCACCAGGATAATGGGGAGCGGTACCAACGATGACACCTAACACTGCTTTCAGCCACGTTCTACGGCCCCACAAACAGGCGTGCACCTGGCAAATGAGGGGACTGCAGGACAAACTAACGAGGACAGTTACTCCCTGAGCCACTCTGCTAAGGGGAACACATGTCTCCCCTCTAAAGTTTCTTCTGGAAACAAAGATTCTTCTAGAAATATCATCAACAAAAGAAACACAACCATTGATACAAGGTCAAACAATTAGGTTCGCAAACTCCTCCTAGAAAAAGCACTACATACCTCATTGCTGAATGTCACCACTGTCACCTTTGAATTACTCCCCTTGGGAAGCTATGCACCGACCCCAGCGCCTAGTCCACCCTTCAAAGCAATTTTGGAACTCTTTTTCTGGAATGCCCATCAGTGTTGTCACATTACCCTTGATGTCCTGAATGCCATCCAAATGTCTTCCTTTCAATATTTCCTTTATCTTCAGGTAAACAAAGAAGTCATTGGGGGCCAGATCAGGTGAGTAGGGAGGGTGTTCCAATACAGTTATTTGTTTACTGGCTAAAAACTCCCTCACAGACAGTGCCGTGTGAGCTGGTGCATTGTCGTGATGCAAGAGCCAGGAATTGGTGAAAAGTTCAGGTCATCTGACTTTTCACGCAGCCTTTTCAGCACTTCCAAATAGTCAACTTGGTGAACTGTTGGTCCAGTTGGTACAAATTAGTAATGAATAATTCCTCTGATATCAAAAATGGTTAGCAACGTCGGTGCAACAAGTTCGCGAATTTAATTGTCAGGCCTCGTATATATGTGCATAGACGAAAGACTGAAAGGAAATACATCCACATGGACAAGGTGGGGCTTTTGCTTTTAGTTCTGAAGCTCAGAAGTTCAGAAGAAGCAACGCGGCCACCACAGTTGGGTGACAGCTTTGGAGCGTGACGAAGACCTAGGCGCTGAGGGCCCACAAGAGGAGAAACAAGCCCAGGGAGCCCACGTGTGCGGCTGTCCCTCCTCCTCCCTGGGGCATTTGTGCACTGGTTGTGGGGGCATACGGGCTGCATAGGAAGCAGGGGCGGTCCAGGGTTACAAGGACAGCCAGGACTTGAGGGGACAAGATCCAGGTCAACAGGGGACCACAGAGAAGCGAGCCCCCTTCACATAATTACCCCTTGAAGCACTTGGGGATTAACCTGTGCATGCCTGGGGTGAGACTCTGATAAACTGAGCAGAAAGCAGCTGCTGGGACAGCAAAAAGCTAAGCAGAGAACTCCACAGACCTAAGCCACCGAGGAGAGAACTGGGGTTCCAAATCTACCAAGGAGGCGAGGTCCCAGCAAACAGCCCAGGCTCTCAGTGGAGACCCCCACCGCCTCAAATCACCACCATCGCTGCTTGAAGCAAGGCGCCCTGTCCTGCACCTTATGCATGCCAGAGGAAAACCAAGTTACTATAGGGAGGTGATAGTACAGAGCCCCTACATTTTCTTAATACTCAAAAGACTGGAAAGCAAGAAAAAAAATAAAACACCATAGAAACAGATCCAAAGGTTGTATGAGCACAAAAACAAGCAAGAAAAAAGCAGGATATGCAAGTAAAAAAAAATCTATAACCACTGTATAAGATGCACCCAGCTTTTAGACCCCAAATTTTTCGAAAGAGGGTGCGTCTTATACATGGGGAACTATGGTACTTAAGGCTCCTCCATCAAGAGATAGCGTTGGTTTTCCCAGGACTTGAGTTTGGGCTGACCTGGACACTTACAATTATGAAAAGAATGCTGGGGCTCACGTATAACTCATGTGTTCTTGGAATGTGGCCATGGGATCCTGCCTGGGTGGCTGGTTGAAGAGACCACATAGGGAGCTGAGGTGCCCTGGCCAAGCGCCAGTACCAAGCAGTAGACGTACGCATGGGGCCATCTTCCACCATCCATCCCTGATGAGCCACCTGATGACTGCAGCTGCCTGAGTCACCCCACACAAAGCCAGCAGAACATTTTCCTGTCGGAGCTGAACCCAAATTACTGACTCACAGAATCCTGAGCAAGGAGGGGAGATGTGGGGGAAAGACATTAAAGTGAGATGTGGTTTGCTAGGCCAATAGGTCACGGTCAAGGAATGAGGACTCAAAAGTGGGGCACTGCTCTATCAAAGTCCTGAAACACACGTACTGGTTTTGAGACCAGGCCCTGGGCAGAGGCTGGAAAACGCGGCAGATCCTAAGATGCTGGGCTTTGAGCACGCTGTCGTCTCCAATTGGATGAGGCTTTGCGGTGTCTTGGAGGGGTGAGTGAACTGAGCATTGGGGAGAAGGTAAAAATTTATGGCAAGAGGGCAGACTGTGGTGGGCTAACGATGGGTGCAAATCCTTTGCAGTTTTCCCCACCAAGGGATGAGGTCTGTGTCCACCATGCTGGAAGTGGACCGCGGGTTCTGAGCCGTGGCCTCAAGAGACCTGTAGCTTCCACTCATCCTCTTCGGCTGCCATGTGGACACATCTGAGCTAGGCTGCTAGAAAAGCCATGTGGAGGAGAGCTGGGGCACCCTGGTGACAGCCCGACAGCATCAGGCATGTGAAGCTAGCTGAGACCACCCAGTCACCACAAAGCTGCCATCTGCATGAGCCCGAATGAGACCACCCAGGTGAGCAGCCCCAAAATGCTGACCCGCATACTCAGGAGGAAACTGGATAATATGGTTTGCCTCAGAGTGTTTAGACAAGAACTTAAATAACCATGATATATAGGTTCAAGAAAATACATGAAAAGATGGAGAATTTCACCAGAGAAATAAAATCTATCTTAAATATTGAAAAAATGGAAATTCTAGAATAGAAAGAACAATAACAGAAATTAAGAATGAAATAGATGAATTTGATAGCAGAGGAGACATATAAGAAAAGAATACTTATAAACTAGAAGAAAATAGCCAAGTTGGGGTATGGAGAGAAAGCAAAATTAAATGTAGAGAAAAATTGCAAGATGTATGAGATATGATTAAAAGTTCTTTTACATGTGAAATCTCAGAAGGAAAGGTGATGCAATGGAGAACAAATAATTTTAAAGATTCGGTGGCTGATAATTTCCCCAAAATGATGCAAGATATCAAGCCACAGATTCAAGCAGTTCTTTGGGTCCACATTGGAGAGATGGAAGGTCTACCAGACCCAGGCCCCTCAGAGTAACACTACTGAAGATCGAAGGTGCAGAAAATGTCACAGGACCAGTCTAGGAAGGGGGAAGGGGGTGATGGCACATTATCCTGATGGCTGACTTGTCAACAGAAGGGATAAAAACCAGATGACATCTTTAAAGTGCTCAAGGAAAATAATTATTAACTTAGCATTCTATACCCATCAAATATATCCTTAAAAATGAAAGTGAAATAAACCAGACACAAAAGGACAAACCCTGTGTGACCCACTCACGCGAGGTCCCTAGAGGAGTCAGATTCACAGAGACAGGAAGTAGCTGGTGGTGCCAGGGCTGGGGGAGGAGGAGGGAGGGAATGTTTCATGGGGACAGATTCAGTTGGGGACGACGGTGGCGATGGTGGCACAACAGTGTGAATGTGCTTAATGCCACTGAGCTGTGCACTTAAAATGGTTAAGATGGGAAATTTTACGTTATGTGTATTTTACTACAATAAAAAACAGGAAGGTGAAACCAAAACCAGGAGAAGTCACTGCTGGGAGACTCCCTAGACAGAGAGAAATGATCCCAGAAGGAAGCTTGGGCATAGAGGAAGCAACTGAGAACACAGAAAAGGAGAAAGTTTAAATTAGTATGGATTAAAACAATGATGTCTCATGAGGTTTAAGTATTGAGGGAGAGAGAAAGAGAGAGAGAGAGGGGTCGTAATTTAAAAAGTGGTTCATTTGGTAGGGAGATACCAATTCTAAATCTGCATGCACCTGAAAACTAGACATACACACATCTTCATGCATAAGCAAAAACGCATGGTCCAGGTAGCTTGAAAAGCAGAGGCGTCAGTGGGGTGCAAGGTGCCAGTACCACATTGTCAGAGAAATGGGAAGAGTGCCAATCTGAGGTCATCAAGGGCAGGCTTTATAATCTCTAGGCAACCACCAATGGAATAATACAAGAATGTCAAATCAACAAGCTCACGGAGCATAAAAATGAGATAATAACAATATTTGATTACCCCACAAGAAGCAGGAAAGGGAAAACAAAGGAAATGATGGAACAAATGAAAAACAAGTAAGTGTAAGATGGTGGATTGCATGTGTTGCAAAGGGACTAAATGTTCCAATTAAAAGACCGAGACAGTCAGATTGGATTGAAAAAACTTGATGTTGCTTATAAATCTACTTTAAAATACAGACACAGAAAGGTCGTCGGTAAAAGGATAGAAAAACATATATCATGGTGTAGCCAAGAGAAAGCTGGTATAGGTAAACTAATATCAGATAGCATAACCTTTGATAAAAGTCTTTATCTCTGAGATAAAGAGGGATATTTCGTAATTTAAAAAGTGGTCAAAATTTGCCAATAAGTTACCAATTCTAAATCTGTATGCACCTAAAAACATAACCTTAAAATACATAAAGCAAAAACTAGCAGAACTAAAAGGTAAAAGAGAAAATCCACAGTCGTGGTGGGAGGTTTCAATAAATACACCTTTATGGGTAACTGATACAAA